CTGAAACAAACACAGATATTCCCTTTCGAAATCTGAAATGTTCTAGGCAACTGACTGTATCTGACGAATTTAGTAGCAAGGAATTCAGGGCGACAGCTCAGTTGTAAAAATTGGATTTTTGGGGGTTTTGAGTGCTACAGGTTATATTCATTTTTAAGAATCAAAGGTGATCTATGTACAAGCACAAACATATCTGATGTTGAAAGGTTACTTATTTCCTTTATCAAAGCATGTTTAAAATTGTAATATAGGAGTCATTTGAATCTACAATTGGTGTTGATTATTATTTATTACTTAAAAATCACCGACATAAAAAAATAATCCTTAAAAAGTCGGTTAATATTCATTGCGACGGTCGACTGTGTTATGATATCTACCTGACCTGATGATATTGAAATGATTAAATGGTGATTATCATCTTATCGTTATGGCTAGAGAGCGGATTTTATGAAATTTGCATATCCGTTATTTTTTGCATATAAGTCTTGATATTTAATATGTGAACGAATCATGCTAACTAAAAATGAATACAGCTATAAAAAAATTGCATATTTGCATATATTTGCCTTCTGCTGCATATTTCACGAAACGGGTGCATATTTTGCATTTTTATCAATTTTTGTGCTAATTTAAAAAAAACAAATTATTGTCATTCTATCGGAATTTATCTAGAAAGACGAAATTTTATTAATCATATTGCAAATATTGTCCTGAACTTCAAATAACTAGAAAAGGTTTGGGTTTTATGGTAGTTTGGGGACACCACTGAGTGTTAACCCATCCTTCCAGGTAAATTCGCGCCCTAATTACTTTTGGAAATACCGTTCACTCCCAATATTTTTGTTCGTTAGTTAAGTGTATCAATGGTACATTTAGTGGTGGTCGAAGGGACGTTATACTATCATTTTTCATCGTGAGTTTGTATTGAAAGCATTTAAAGGGATACAGGTGTATCAATATGTCGAAGATAACTCAAATTAATTTATTAAAAATATAACTAAAATTAAACCGTTTCCTGACCTTATTCTTCAAGAACGAACTGTGTTTTGTCGCGTCTGCCCTAAACCGGTAAGTATTTTTACATCTGTGGACGTAGTACGCAGTTTTTCTTTACAAATACATTTACTTTAGAACTACCAGAAAAACTTTTTGTTAAAATATTTCGAAAAATATCTAAAAATAAATTGTTACCAAAATAGTAATTAAATAGTGGATTACTACTATTTTTAATTTGATCTGTTTATATTTATTTTTTAATATAAGAATATTATCTTTAAAAACGTGATTTAGGTGTTAGTGAGATGTAATTAAACACTTTGCAATGTGATTTATGTATTTTTTGTAATAAAACGTAAGCACGGGAAACCTGTTTTTGAATTTTATAAATAAATTTAGTTCGATTATTAAGCTTTTTTTTTATTTTTGGAGCATATGCAACTGCATATCTCTGCATATATTAAGAAAGTTACTGCATATTTGCATAAATTTGGTGCATATCATATGATCATATTTCTCAAAATTTTGCTGCATATTTTCCGCTCTCTAGTTATGGCTAACAATAATCCTGATTAAACCAGCTTTCAAATAAAAAAAAAAAACGGTTAATCCCTTTGGCAGCTACAATGTCACATCTACACAACAACAAAGGTTTCAAAGTTATAACACCCCTCTTTTTGTGTCGGGGGTTATAAAATCAACTCTTTCATTTAAGATGCCTCTAAAATGTTTCCTCGAGTTTGAAATCATTAACCCAAAAATGAATGGTGTCGTACATATGAAGAATATGAAACGTGTAATATAGAAAAATCTTTTCTTTTGTCGTTTTTTCGAAGAAGCGAATCACAATACAAATTGTATTTTTTACATTTTTAAAAATCATTCGACACTAGTATTCACTTAATTCCTAAACTAAGAATTTCTGACAGAACGACTCGATGTTATAGAAACGTCATCTATGAAACACAGTACAAATGTAGAAAAAATTCAAGAATAAATTATAAATTTTGTCAGATCCGACTAGGTTATTAAAATGATAAATTATACGGAATGTCTTCGTACTTCAAAAATGGTTTGGTGATAAAATAATAATTTTAATAGTAAAAATCATCTTTCAAATTTATTCGAGATTGTATCAATAATTTAACGTTTATTCCCACACCGAAAACACTCAAAATATTTGTCGACGCATTTCGTCAACCATGTTGGCATCATCTAGTTCTAATTTAACTTAACGTGGTTGGCGAAATGCGTCGACAAATAGTTAGTGTTTTCGGAGTTGTAGGGAAAAACGTTATACCGGGTGTCCCACGTAACACTTTCGGGCGCAATAACTCAGGTATTTTTGAAGGTATTTTTACGAAATTTAAAACAGATGTAATATAATAGGCAAAGATTAGGCTGATAACAAAAAAACTATTTTATCGTACAAAAATCGAATTTTAACACAGCTTCCTGTTGTTAAAAATTATGCAAAATTGCTTTATAACTTTAAGCAACTAAAATAACGCCTGTGTGCAAAAAATTAATTAAATCACTGCTTTTGTTTAAAAGAATTACGTTAATAAAAACGCCAAAAATTAATTAATTTGTTTTTTTTTAATTTAATAGTGCTGTTGGTGCAAAACAGTTGCCTGCGTCGCCAAGTTCAGTTTTGTACACCCCTGACATTTTTATCAAAATCTGACAAGTTATTGAAAATGGTTCGCTTTTTTTTAGTTATTAAAACAGAAATCATTTTAACCTACGGCGAATGCCGTACAGACCTAGATGAAAAAATCAGGACTCTTATCGAACTTATCCCAAAGATGATTTTACCAAATTCAAAGTACAGAGAATAATAAACTTATTTGAAGGTACGGGAAGTGTACAAGGCTTAAAACGAGTGAAAAAAAACAGGTGTTAAATACATCTAACAAAATTATTTCCATTTAAGTTAGAATTAATTTCTGAACCTAAAGCAATTTTTTTGAAAATTAGTATTTTCTTAAAATTCATAAAATAACGCTTGGCAAACAGGTATCAAAGTCCCGCAAGGGTGTCCAAAATTCAAGGATAGCAATGTTTTGTTTCATAGCTACCTATCCTTTAGTACTTTTTGGCATTATTTGCGTAATAATTTATCGATTTTGTCTAAGCAGACGTATTTCGGAGATGGACTTTTGCATACAGTATTTATTTTTCATGTTTAATCAAATGATGCAAAACTTAATTAATTCCAAATTAAATTAAGGCATGAAAAATTTACTTTTTCAAGATAATGATTATTCTCACCAGTTCATATTAATCCTCACCTATCAAAATACCTACATGTCAAATTTCATAAAAATCCGTTCAAAAATACCTGAGTTATTGCGCCCGAAAGTGTTACGTGGGACACCCGGTATTGTTATAGCGCATCCACTGATCCAGAAGATTCCCATTTTTTATTACCCTTATTATTTATTTTATTTTTTATTTATGTTATTATTTTTAAATATCATATTTTTCAGTCATTATAATTAATTTATCCGATATACGTACAAAGGATATTAGTTCCAATCCAACCTTCCCAAAAAGTACTCTAATGGGAAATCATGTTTTCGCGGAAACACAAATTTAATTAATCAACTTTAGGAAAACCAATTTGAAACAGAAAAACAAAATTTATAAATGTTTGAGGTGACTAATTTCGATGCGTGATAATAAAACGGCTTCAGGTGTGCTGAAAGTTTGTTTATATTTATTTCCTTAGGGATCTTTAGTGCAGAGAGAGCATTTTTTACTTGGACGTTAATAATAATTTATCAGCCGTCTGGGTTAAGGTGTAAAAGTTCTAATGCAGCTGCGTGAATAAACAATAAATTTTAATCCAGGCCTAATCCTAAGTGGAAACTTTCTGCAGCGTTATCAACGCTACTATAAAACACAATTGGGACTAAAATAGACAAAGACCTGATACAAAGTGTCGACATTTATAATAATTATTGCATCTACTAGCATACGAAAAGTTCATTCTTGCCACGAGACCGTGGACAACGCTTTTCTGGTGTCTTTGGAGAAGCCATTAATAAATTATTTGCGTGTTCTGGGGCAGTTTTTCTCCTGTTCAAGGTAGTCGCTAGGATGGTAGTGAATAATAAATAAAGTAGTTTTCTAGTATAAAACCAAGCAGTCGAGCTTATAAATAGAGGCGTCGAGAATAACATACAATGATACAGTCTATTACGAATGCTGGGGAAGCTCGCATATCTATTTCTGCCATCAGAATACTTTGTTAAAGATACTATACCTCTACGAATTTGTCGGGAGACTAAGAATGCTGTAAAAATGCGGATTATATAAACGTAAAGCTAAAAATAAATTTAAGGGAGCAATAATGAAATGTTTAGTTTAATGGAAACATTGTTAATCACCCGATGCTGCTTTTTGTTGTTTAGGATTAAAAGTTTGTTTTGTTTGCTGCCAGATCGGTAGAATTGAAGTTAATAATTTATGCAGTCTATTTTTAACATTATGAAGTTGATGATACTTTCAGTATTACAACAGAGATATCTCGAAAAAAAATGTCCGTTTTTTAATAAATAAATAAATAAATAAATAAATAAATAAATAAATAAATAAATAAATAAATAAATAAATAAATAAATACATAAATAAATAAATAAATAAATAAATAAATAAATAAATAAATAAATAAATTGTGGTCACCTACATTTAAAATTTCAAATTTGGCGCTACAACTAGATGGCAGCAGTGAGGAGGAAGCAGTACGGGACACGACGGGTATCTGAGCAGAATATTAATAAAACCGCTCGTTCGAAGATTAAAAATTAGTTTTACTAAAAAACCGACTACAATTTCAGGAGTGGGATGAACGACCTTAACATCGGAATGACCAATGTCCGATTTGTGTTTGTGAAGTGCTGATTCATGGAATAGTCACACGGATAAATGGTAGAAGAGTCAAGCACGTGGGAAATGTGAGGTTATGTCAACTCATCACGTTTTCATAAAAGGAGAAGATGGCAAGAACCCTCCAAGAAGTGGAGTTGTGTGACGACGCTATTAAGAATGGTCCATATGCATCGGTACGTACGCTATACGGCCTTGCCTTTGACGACGGTAGTCGGTTGAACAGAAAGAAGCTGTGTCAATGGACGGGTTTCCCTTTTGAGATCGCATCAGATGACTTCAATGAGAAAGTGGATGAGGTAGTGCAGAATTTTACGATCGCAGAACTTTGTGGAGTCGGCCTTCTACTGGGGTTGAATTGTGCAGGTACTCACCAAGAAGTGGCCGAGAGAATTTGTTCAGTGTTGACTGATTTTGATCTGTTTACACAAGAAAGAGTTGTTCAAGAACAAGAGAGTGAAGACGAGGACGACGAAGATGATCCGGTAGACAGTGATGATGGTCGAGCAGGCGCGGCAGCAGTCCCTACGTTCACCATGTCTTTCAGAGACATCGAAGATTCCGTACGCACTTTTAGTGGTGATGACAATTATGCAATCGAGACTTGGGTCGCAGACTTTGAAGACATCGCTAAACTTATGAAGTGGTCGGAACTGCAACGACTAGTTTTTGCGAAGAAATCATTAACTGGGCTTGCTAAGTTATTTATCCAAAGTCAGAGGAATTTGGGTACATGGAAGGACTTGAAACGCAGGTTATTGAGTGAATTTTCCAAGAAGGTGAGCACTGCTGAACTGCATCGCATGCTGAATAATAGAAAAATGAAAAAAGAAGAATCTCTCCAGGAATACTTGTTGAAGATGTGTGAACTCGCTTCAAAGGGTCAAATTGAAGAGGAGTCAGTAATCGAATATGTCATTCAAGGTATTAACGATGATCCTGAACACAAATTTTTGTTGTATGAAGCTGAAACTTATGTCGACTTAAAGAAAAAAATTGAAGTTTATGAGAAGATTAGAAAGACCCGTACACCTTCGACTCAATCTGTTGGTCAACGTTTCCGAAAGCATAACGAAAACAAAGGAACTTATTCTCCGGGGTCTGTAGGAGCGAAGGGCAGTAGTAAACCCCCTCCAAATCAGAACATAATTAGAAGATGCTATAATTGTAATGGTGTGGGCCATTTCGCCTCAAATTGTCCAATTCCGGTGAGGGAAAAGGGTTCCTGTTACAATTGCGGTTCAAAGGAACATCAGAAGAGGAATTGTCCAGGGAAGAAAAAGGAAGACAACACCACCAATGTGATATCAACCGAGACACAAGATCCCTATATGGTAAACGTTAAGATTAATGTTAAAGATGATTGTCAAACCGAATGTAGCTATAATTTGAATTCATTAATCGATACAGGTAGCCCAATTTCAGTTGTAAAAGTTCGGTATGTCACCGAAAATAATTTCAATGAAGGTCTAAATCCAAATTTAAATTTCGTGGGTGTGAATGGATCGAAGCTTGATATTTTGGGTATTTTTAACACGGAAGTATTTGTTAATGAAACTGTTTTACCCATAAAATTCTATGTAGTTCCTAATAGCACCATGTCCTTTAACGCTATATTAGGTAGAGATTTTCTCAATACCAAGGGTTTCACGTTTACGTTAGGAGATCATTTAAAAATTATTTCAAACGAATTTGAGAAAGTAAATAACTTTGACGAAATTTTACATGTCGATTTTAAGGTAGGTGAAGAAATAAAAAGTAACAAAGAAGTACAGATCAATCCTTGTTTAGATTATGATAAAAAAGTGGAAGTTTTGGAAGTGTATGATAATTTTTATTTATGTAATGACTCGCCAAAGATTGATTGTAATTACGAAATGAACATTTGTGTTAAGAATAATCAACCAATCTCTTTTAGACCACGGCGTTTATCCTTTTCTGAAAAAGAAAAATTACAAAACATGTTAGATGATCTATTAGAACGAGGCATTATTAGACCTAGTAGCTCTGATTACTGTAGTCCAATTGTACTGGTAAGAAAAAAGACAGGTGATTTAAGGCTTTGCGTTGATTATCGCGAATTAAACAAAATTACTATTAAAGACAACTTTCCTACTCCTTTGATAGAAGACAATCTGGATCGACTTCGAAACAAAAGATATTTTACGACCCTTGATCTTAAGGATGGTTTCCATCATGTTCGTGTAGCAGAATCGTCGATTAAATTTACTAGTTTTATCACACCTTTAGGGCAATTTGAATATCTTAGAATGCCTTTTGGGTTAACTAATGCCCCAAGAGTTTTTAACAGATTTATTAATTTAGTTTTCAATAAATTAATTCGAGCAAACAAAATTATTTTGTACTTAGACGACATTCTAATAGCGACCAACAGTTACGAAGAACATTTAGATATTTTGAAAGAAGTATTTGGTGCAGCCTCCCAACACAATTTGCTTTTTCGAATTGATAAATGTGCTTTTCTTATGTTTGAAATTTCTTATTTAGGATATCTAGTAAACAATGATGGCATCAGACCTGATCCGAAAAATGTCGAAGCAATTTTGCAGTATCCAATTCCTACAAATGCTAAGGAAGTTCATAGGTTTGTTGGTATTGCTAGTTATTTTCGAAAATTTATAAATGGGTTTTTCGTCCTTACAAAACCTTTATATGACTTGTTAAAAAAGAATGTTGAGTTTCGGTTTGGTGAAAAAGAACTTGAATCATTTGAACAAGTAAAAAATCAATTAGCTTCTTATCCTCTTTTAGCTGTGTATGATCCGCATACCCAAACAGAGTTGCACTGCGATGCATGCACATCTGGGTTTGGAGCTATTTTACTTCAAAAACAGTCGTCGGGAAAGTTTCATCCTGTTTTTTATTTCAGTCGTAGGACGACCGAAACCGAATCTAAATATCACAGCTTTGAATTGGAATGTTTAGCCGCTATTTATGCTATTAAACGATTTCATATATATCTCTTCGGTATACATTTTACGATTGTCGCAGACTGTGATAGTTTTAGGCTTACTCTGAATAAAAAAGATATTAATGTTCGAATTTCTAGGTGGGCACTATTCTTACAAAATTATGACTACGAATTGCAACATCGTCCGGGAACACGGATGATCCATGTTGATGCTTTAAGTCGAGCCAACAATATTTTAGTACTAGAGGAAAATACACTGGAACAAAATTTAGCTATTTCTCAAAACTTAGATTCGAGTATTCAAAAGGTTAAGTCTGAACTCGAAACCCGCGAAAGTACAAAATTTGAACTTAGGAATGGACTAGTGTATAGAAAGAGCAAAGGAAAGCTTTTATTTTACGTTCCTTCGTTGATGGAAAGTCAGATCTTAACTATGTGTCATGATAATTTCGGTCACGTTGGCGTGGACAAAACTATGGAGTATCTAAAACGCAGCTATTGGTTTCCTAGTATTAAAGAAAAAGTGAAATAGTAATTTACGCAACTAGTTCGGGATAGCCTGCTTCCCGCATGAACGCTTGTTTGAGGCACGACCGAAGGGAGTGCCGCATTAGCGTGAATGCGGGAAGCAGGCTCACGAACGTGTTGTGTACAATATTTTTTGCGACGAATAAACCTTTAAACTGAAGAGATTAACTGTGAGTTATTTATAAACAACGCCATTGACAGCGCCGTCAACACGTCACAATGTTGACACTACCCGAGTATTTTAAGGTTACCATGGCAACGGGAAGTTAAATGCACGTGTGCGGGAAGTTCGACCTCCCGCACTCTGGTGAATGCGCGAAAGCTATCAAAAAAGGTCATGAGTGCAAAAAATCATGTTCGAAATTGTTTGAAATGTATCACCTTTTCACCAATTGGTGGCGCTGTGCCGAGTGAGTTGCACAATATCCCTAAGGGAAATAAACCCTTTGTCACCATACATATTGACCATTATGGTCCATTAGAAAAAACTTCGACAGGTAAAAGATATATTTTTGAGATCATTGATTGTTTCACTAAATTCGTAAAACTGTATGCAATCAAGAGCACCAAAACTTGTGAAGTAATCAATCAGTTAGAAAATTATTTTAGGCACTATAGTGTATCATTACGTCTTGTATCCGATCGGGGATCCTGTTTTACCTCTAATGAGTTCGAAAAGTTTGTTCAAGAACATATGATTCAGCATATTAAAGTCGCGACGGGGTCACCAAAATCAAACGGTCAGATCGAAAGAATCAATCGAGACTTAACACCAATGTTGTCAAAATTGGCTATTTTAACAAACAAGTGGGAGAAAGCTTTGGGAACAGTTGAATTTGCTATTAACAATTCGCTTTGTAGATCCACTGGTAATTCTCCATCCGTTTTATTGTTCGGTATTAGTCAAAACGATCCTAGCGATCCTTTAAGAAATTCATTGGGCGCTGAAGCTGAAAAAGAAGATGACTTAGCCGAGGTTCGAGAAAAGGCTCAGTCTCAGAATGAAAAGTTACAAGCATACAATAAGCGCATGTATGACCAAAAACATAGACCTCCTAAACCGTACAATTTCGGTGATTATGTGATGATAAAAAACATAGATGTTACACCAGGTATTAATAAAAAACTTTTACCTAGGTATCGTGGTCCCTACGAAATCAAGAAGTCATTAGGCAATGATCGTTATTGGATTACAGACGTTGAAGGTTTCCAAGTAACGCAAATCCCATTTGAGGGAGTATGTTGTCCTGAGAATATGAAGCTTTGGCTTCAATAAGTTACAAAGAGATTAGTTTCATTTGTTCATTATTTCATAATGTTGTGTTTCTTAGTTTTGTTTCCACCTCGTTCTAGTTTTGACGCTGACATGTTCGTCTTTTAAGCCGTCTTTTAAGCGATTGGGTTTTCTAATCCATCTCTAATACCCTTATGATTTTTATGTGTCCTAATTACTTATGTGATTTATGTACTTTAGATACTTATGTGCGTCTTATCATTATGTTATTTAGGCGTTATATTATGTATTGGATTTATGTGACTTATGTTTTTAACATTTTATGTTTCACTAACTTATGATGTTTGTGTGACTGAAGTTTTAAGCACCTTATGTTTTCTGTCACTTATTATGTTACGTACCTTATGTTTTACTTTGTGTAACTTATGATGTTTGTGTGACTGAAGTTTAAGCACCTTATGTTTTCTGTCACTTATTATGTTATGTACCTTATGTTTTACTTTGTGTATATGATCGGGACGATCATAATGTCAGGATTGGCCGAATTGTGGTCACCTACATTTAAAATTTCAAATTTGGCGCTACAACTAGATGGCAGCAGTGAGGAGGAAGCAGTACGGGACACGACGGGTATCTGAACAGAATTTTAATAAAACCGCTCGTTCGAAGATTAAAAATTAGTTTTACTAAAAAACCGACTACAAAATAAATAAATAAATAAATAAATAAATAAATAAATACATAAATCAATCAATCAATCAATCTATCTGTCTAACTCTCTCTCATTTAATTTATAAAGATAGAGTGCTGCAATTCATATGATTAATCCTAATACCAAAAAGATTATTTTAAACTTGAAGATTAATTTTTACTTCCTGAGCGTAAGCAAAGGAAGTATTTTGATCGAGTCCGTCGACTCTCTTCTTTTACTTTTTTTCGACTTTTCATGATCCCTACAGTACGAAGAAATAGGTCTCCCGTTTCCGTCTGTCTGTCTACCGTCCCAGATTTTTATTAGACAGATAATCTTCGAAAGTACTAGGCAGATTGTTGTCAAATTTTGTATTTATATTAGGAATATCATGGTAAAACGCTAACCAAAATTTGTCTAATCATCCCCACCAATAATGTGATGCTGATGACGGTACTTCAAAATTGTACATAGTAAATGGGTTTTAAATTGTATAAAATAACATAGTCCTACACATGATTGTGGTTTATGAAAACGTGTTAAGTTTTTACCGGAAACGTACAGATTTTTGGAAAAAAATCAAAATTATAAGATAACACTTTGCAATTTAATTTTTAATCTGCAGAACCGAATGCTTTGAAATCTTGCAGATGTTTTGAAGTTATGATAAGCATGATACATTATTAATCAAAATATATTTGCTTATTCCCTCTAAAAAATTGATGACGTCAGCTCAAAATGTCCAAAATATGACAAGTCTATACTAGTGATTTATCATTTTAATATTTCCAATCACATTTTTTGGATTTGCTTATACAGGGTGACTCAGAAAACTTAATCAATGCGTGAATTTATTTTATTGATTTAATCAAGCACTGCAAAACCGAATGCTTTGAAATCTTGGAGATAGTTTAAAGTTATCATAAGCATGGTAAATTTTTGACCACAATGTATTTGCTTATCCCCTCCAAAAAATTGATGACGTCGTTTCAAAATTTTGCCGAATAAATTCTACCCAACATGTACAAAATATGATGAGTTTTTACTTATCACTGCATTCATGTTTTTTAGAGTTGTTTAAACAAGTGGCTCAAAAAAAAATTAGTCAATTTATTTTATTGATTAAATCAGGTTCACTTTTTGTCTCAGAAAATTTTGGGAATACAATACTGTTATTTTTAGTATTACACTGCACCAATCTAAATTGATATACATGTCGTTGTTTTTTCTTGCACTGGTAATACGCTGTGACTACTTTTCTTTTGTGCTGTGACTAGTACATATTGATGACATCGTCACAAATTTTTGATTGGTCAAACTAAGAACGAGTCACCCCATTTTCTTGGAGATGTGAAGAATACTCGCATCTTTATATAATAATGACAAAATAAGAATTATAACAATCACAACATTTTGTTCGATTGTGGTATAATTAATAATTTTGGGCCTGTTTTGAGAAGACAAACTCATTCAAATCAAACTCATTTCTACGTGATATTCTTTCGATATATAAACACAGATAATCACCTGAGCGTCAGATTGTTATTACCTAGTGTTGAAGGACAAGGGTTGTTAGACATGGATTATTTTAAGTTCAACATGGTGCGTCATCAGAATCGGACAACGGATTGTCAGTCAGTAGCATAACATACAAACTTCAGAAGGGGGTGTTTTTTAAATTTATTTTTGCTTCCCGAGCGTAAGCAAAGGAAGTATTGTAATCGAGTTCGTCGGCCGACTCTCTACTTTTACGTTTTCTCGATCTTTCATGACTCCTAGAAGACGAAGAAATAGGTCTCCCATTTCCGTCTGTCTGTCCGTCTGTCTGTCCGTTTGTCCATCTGTCCGTCTGTCTGTCTGCCGTCCCGGGTTTTTATTAGACAGATAATCTCAGAAAGTACAGGACCGATTGTTGTGAAATTTTGTACTTATATTAGGAATATCATGTAGATGGTAAAACGCTAACCAAAATTTGTCTAATCATCCCCACCACTAATGCGATGGCGTCACTTCAAAATTGTACATAGTAAATGGGTTTCAAATTGTATAAAATAACATAGTCCTACACATGTAGTTTACGACTCCGAATTGAGTTTTTACCCGAAACGTCCAGATTTTTGGAAAAAAAATCAAAATTATAAAACAACATTTTGCAATTTAATTTTAAATCTGCTAACCCGAATGCTTTGAAATGTTGCAGATGTTTTAAGGCTGTAAAGAGCATCATAAATCTTTAGTCAAAATATATTTGGTTATCCCCTCCAAAAACTTGATAACGTCAGCTCAAAAGTTTGCCGAATAAATCCGACCTAAAATCTATAAAATATGATGAGTCTGTACTTGTGATCTATCACTCCATTCATATTTTTTGGATTTGCATATACAGGGTGACTCAAAAAAAATTAATGAATGCGTAAATTTATTTTACTGATTTACTCAGGAACTACAAAACTGAATGCTTTGAAATCTTGACGATGTTTTAAAATTACCATAAGCATGGTAAATTTTTGATCAAAATGTATTTGGTCTTCCCCTGTAAAAAATTTATGACGTCACCACAAAATTTTGCTGAATAAATCCTATCTAAAATGTACAAAATATGATGAGTCTCTTCTTGTGATTTAGCATTCCATTCAAATTTTTTCGATTTGCATATACAGGGTGACTCAAAAAAATTAATGAATGCGTGAATTTATTTTATTGAGTTTATCAGGAACTACAAAACCGAATGCCTTGAAGTCTTGCAGATATTTTAAAGTTATAAAAAGCATAATAAATGTTTAGTCAACATATATTTGCTTATCCCCTCCAAAAAATTGATGACGTGAGCTCGAAAATTTGCCGAATAAATCCTATCTAAACTGTACAAAATATGATGAGTCTGTACTTGTGATTTATCACTCCATTTATATTTTTTGGATTTGCATATACAGGATGACAAAAAATTAATGAATACGTGAATTTATTTTATTGAGTTAATCAGGAACTACAAAACCGAATGCTTTGAAATCTTGCAGATGTTTTAAGGTTATAAAAAGCATAATAAATGTTTAGTCAAAATATATTTGCTTATCCCCTCCAAAAAATTGATGACTCGAAAATTTGCCGAATAAATCCTATCTAAACTGTACAAAATATGATGAGTCTGTATTTGTGATTTATCACTCCATTCATATTTTTTGGATTTCCATATACAGGGTGTCTCAAAAAAATTAATGTATGCGTAAATTTATTTTATTGATTCACTCAGGAACTACAAAACCGAATTCTTTGAAATCTACTGCGAAAGAAAAAACAATAGGCATGCAGTCGTCACGTTTCCGACAGCGAGGGAACTACTGTCTAAACTCTTTAGACCAATTTTTTTAAATCGCGCACAATAACGGAAACGTACACTTAAGTGAACTGGTCAGTATTAAGCACTAATTTAAACAGGTACAGGTACCCATCGCAGGTAGAAAAGTTCACTATGACAGAAAAACGATGACAAACGCCTCTGAGGGTGCGCCTATTCGAAAATGCTGGATATGTTTCATTGTACTTCAGAAGCGAGGAAAGTTATGTCGAAACAAATTTCGGCCTATTTGTTTTATTGTTTTTAAATTATAACAGCTTAATAGTCACATGCTGTACATAATAATTGCGAACATCTGAACACATCACTTCCAATTTCCCATGTTTAAATTTCACAAGACCGAACGTAAGTATGCATAAAAATAAACAATGTTGTAAAACTTCTAAAGTGTGAATTCAATCCTTTCCGCAGCAATGAAACTTTCTGCATCTTAAAAGGTATATTATGCAAAATCGGTTTCTTTCCTCTCCGCCAAAGTCAGCTTTAATAAATGCTGCAAAGCCCTTGAATTTGACACAACTTATCGATTTCGCCGTTATTTTCGTAAAACTTCTCACAAAATATTGTTTATCTTTTAAAATGACCTTCTCCGACAGAATAGTCAGACTATAAATTTGGATATGTGATTGAAATGAAAAATTTCTAGACTTATCCTGTCTTTATGAATTATTTATAAAGTTTCAATTCGATGAATCTTTTATAGCTCGCAGTGGTGAGTTCTGGGATCAACGGGATATTATCCAAGGAATTGAAAGTTAACCAGCCATAAATCGTAGTTTCCAACTTCTTCATTATGATACAGTGATAATTTGCTGAAACCTTATTATACTTCGTTATTAATTTTGATGTAAAACAAGATACTCACCACGCTACAATCAAGACGGGTTAAATTAGATTGGAACAGTCAGGACCTGGTAAATGTATTTGACGTTGATATTACCGCCAGGAAATTATAAGGGATGTTCCATTACATTTATGTCAGTACAAAAGAAACGT